TACCTGTTTCCATGTATATAGCTGTATTTTGAATTGCATCGGTTTCAGAGCAAATAATGGACTTTTCTTCTATTTCTAGACCATTTGAATCACAAAAAGAATCCTGCTCATCATCAAAACTAAAAATACAAAAAAGCAATAATTTTAAATTACTCAGTTCCTTTCTAACATGCTACATAACTCAGCACTGAGAGAAGGCTGCATAAAAAGGTAAACATTGCTCAGTGTACGACTTCAATATTCGACTAATAACAAACAGCAGAGTTAAATCATTTGGATGGAAGGCATTATTACTCACAAGACTAACCACAGCAATTAGTAGTGTTGCTGACTTAAAAGTAGTAGCAATAACTAGGATTTTCATGTTGTAAGCACATGTATATGACAAGTAAAAACAACACTCTTCTCTCATCACAAACAACCAAATTTCTGGAAAATTAAAAATACTTGCCCCCTTTTTATATTATATTTTTCATATTTGGTGTAAAAAAGCTCTGAAAAGTAATTTTTTGGCTTTTGGAATCAAATTATCTCTCAAAAAAAAAAAAATCTGCTTATCAGTCTGGGCTATTTGGTTTCATCCTAGTTAATTTTTTATCACCTAGTTCAGTTTTTATCATCCCTGTATCCCATTAGCAATTTCAACATGCACACATCAGACTAAAAAATGAGACAGTACTGCTCATAAAAATCAACATCCACATTATCTCATAAGTTGGTCACAAACAATTCTTTACTCAAGAATACAAGAACCTTAACTTTTGCACAGTCCAAATATATTGTTTACTCATGGTTTATCTGGATGATGAGAGGAACTGAAAACACCTACTACCAATCCCGGTCTTTAAAACCTTTTAGGAAATCACTAGATCTGATGCTGTTCTCTCTTCCAGTTGCAGTAAATTCTGACTCTAAAGAACAACTTGACAGAGAAATAGCTGTGTTTTCCAGTGAGCTGTCCATGTCACCTGCAATACATAAAATTTTTATAATTTTATTTTGCATTTGAGAAGTTGACATTAAGAAATCAACAAGGGCCTATTAGGAGTGCTTGCCACATAATCATGTAAGTTTAAGAACCAAAACCACTACTGATGCAGCCTGACAAGTTAAGAATTATAAAAGCTTAAACTATAGTAAGAATTATTTAGCATTCACACCAGATTTGTCTTTCTGAAGTTTTAGAGCTTGCCTGCATATACTAGTTTTTCTGTGACCGAAGTCTGAAAAATAAATTGTTTTAGTCTGCTGCCCACATGCACCAGCAATGTGTTTCTCAAGAAGCCCAAATACATTCTAAATATTAAACATTTATGTATCTTTAAATTAAAGCTAAATATATGCATTATGAGGTGGACTGCTACCAACTACGTCAAGCAGGCCTTAAACACAAACAGGCTGTTCTAAAGAATCCTTTGTGTTCTTTACTCCAATGTTAACATTCCCAGGCTGGCTCCCAAGTATCACAAACCCCTGATCAAGAATATCTACCTATTTGAAATGCAAAATAATAAGTTTAGGAACCATACAGCTCTAGTATGTATTCTCCCTGAAAAAGATCAAAGCACCATTGCTTGCTATTACCTTTGTATACTAAGGAGCTTCCACTTTTACATTTGGTATGCAGTGCTCCCAAGAGGCAATCCTACAAGAAAACACAAAACCACTGTAATTGAGTAAGAATTTTCAGAGAAAATGTATGTTACAACTTAGATGTTTAACAGTTACAACTCCTTGTGACAGAATTCTTACTACAAACCACCAGCTTTGAAAAGGAAGTAGGTTTTTCTTCAATATATAAACATGGCCCTCATACTAATGTAGAGAGGCAAATATATTCCCTACAGTCTAATAATGAAATATTCATAGTGTTATATGTTAGAATATTTGAGCCTAAAATTTGAGCATATAAAGCACAATGAAGATGATAACATAAAATAAAGGCATGAAAGCAGAACTAGGTAATCACAGAAACAGTGCCATCTACCTTCATACCTAGGCTTTTCATGCCAAAGTTTCCTGTTCTACTTTTTCCTACTATCTTGTAACTACAAACTAAGAAAGTGAATGACAGAGGTTTTATGCTACATACTAAGAAAGTGAATGACAGAGGTTTTATGCTACAAGTAAAATCAATTAAATGTACATTAGAAGATATTGAAAATATCAGACTCAAGGTAGTTCTCATCATCTTAGTTGTTTCACTGCATCTCTCTGCTGTGTTCTAAATCAAGTGATCAACTGCTGTAATTTCTTGTACTTAAATTCCCACTTTCTAATGAAATAACCCACAAATGCAACATTTTCTTCCTTGCAAGCATTACACTTTAAAATCTCAGTGACAGTCTTTTAAATATAAGTTTTCAAAATTATTTTCTCTTGAAGCACAGTTGTGTAATTCAAGCAGAATATTCCCTAAGAAAAACACAGAATTTAGAGGACCATAAAATGCTAGTCATGTTGTAAATCCTTCTGCAGAAACTAACAGCATACAGCCTGATTTTAGCTGCGAAAGAACTCAAATCTTCACATCACATTTGGGACAGTTCCGGATCCTAAAACGGCAAGTCACACTTCCTCAGAAAAAAAAGGCTGGGTTTTGCAGTCATTTGACGATTCCCAGGACCAACCTGATATCCCAGTACAACTATGTGTCTAGCTCAAACCCAGCTTTCAATCTCTCCCAATCTCTGGTTGCTCATGGATATTTCCCAACATATGACTTCCTTTGCAGCATGAGTTTGAATTTGTTTCAGTGAAAGACAAACAGAATTCAGGCAAAACAAAGGTTCCTGGCCAGCAAGTATTCCTTCTATGAATTATCAAAGGCTTTTGAAACACTAGCAGGGGGGAGGGGTCTTTGCTGCTGGATTTTTAAGCAGATCAGTTTCCCAATCCACTGTGCAAAGCCAAATGTTTATGTGAGCACAAGGAAACAGAAGAACCACAGTCCAGTTCCCTCATTCATATCAGTGCAAAGAACCTAGCATTCTCTGGTGTAAAATAATATTGCTGCACTTTGGCAAGGGAATGATACCCATCATAATTTGCTGCCTGGTCAGCACAGCAATCTCTTTATGAACTACGGGTTTGATTCTCCTCCGATTGACTAGGTATGGAACACTTTCCTGCTCTCTGACAACAGAGCTAATCAGTAGGCTTCACAAAAAAAATCACAAACACTCCTAACACATTCTAAGGAAGGCTGCCAATTGCTGGGACTGAAGAGGATAAGAGAGAAATTACTTATCCTATTATACATATTTCATACATGCTTAGCAGACTACTTTTAAGACCATTTACATGTGATCTCACTCAAGTGGAAGGCACCAGAAGGTTTTAGGCAAAAAATAAGTGTCTTAGTAATGCATAAAATTTGGAATTGTAATTATCAGGGAAATTTCCACATCAGGCAAGGATGACTCTTCCGCACTTCTACTGTAAGGCAGTTAGAGCACGGGGATAGGACAAGAAAGAATACATAACCTCCCCAAGTCTGTTTAAACCCCACTTTTGTCCCTCAGTGCAGGGATATGCAACACCGCGGTGTTCACAATGAACCCTAGGGAGGGAACACAGCCCCCCGATACAGCCCCCTCCTCCAAGCCCCTCGGGAACGCGGCGAGGAGAAACGGATTTCCTCCTCTCCCTCCCCCCAGGCCGCCCATCCCCGGCCCCGCCGTCTCACCCCCGCGGGCCCCCGCGAGTACCGCGGCTGCAGGCTCCGGGCGGAGCGGCCGCGGCTGAGGCCGGGGGCGGGCGCGGTTCCCCCTCCCGCCATGGCGGCACCGCCGCGCTCGAACGAACCGCCGCCGCCCGCGCACGCGCAGACGCGCCCGCCGCCCCAGCTGGGGACGAGGGGCAGAGGCGACCCCGGGCGGGCAGGGCAGGGCCGAGCCACGCCCCTGACGGGGCTGCGGGGGACGGGCACAGCACTGGTGGTTCTTTACAGACTAATGGTTTTGTGGGGCCTTTAGGGAATCACAGAGTCACTAAAGGCTGGACAAGACCTCTGATCGTCGAGTCGAACATCTGACCGAACACCACCACGTCAACTCGACCATGGCACTAAGTGACACATCCAGTTTTTCCTTAAACGCTTAAGGAAGGATGACTCCACCACCTCCCTGGGCAGCCCATCCCAGTGTTTAATCATCCTTTCTGTGTAGAATTAATGTCCAACCTAAGCCTCCCCTGGTGCATCTTAAGACTATGTCCTCTCATCCTGTCACCCAGTGCCTGGAAGAAGAGGCCGACCCCCACCTGGCTACAACCTCCCTTCAGGTACTTGTTGACAGTGATAAAGTCATCCGTGAAGAAGTACTACTACTATCCTGTAAAAATAAATAAATACAAATCCAAATAAACTTAAAGCTGAATATACAAGTCACGTATTTCCCATTTACAGATCATAACAACTTAGTTACCTTGGAAAAAGTCTTGATAATGCCAGCACTGAACTGCAGAGTATCAGTTTAAATAAATCCCACATTTATCCATGCATACTCACTCTTGAGAGGCAAAATTTTTCAAGATACTGGTACTTAGAGCCTGCAGTAAGGTCTGAGAAGTTTAAAACAGCAAATAAACACTGAGCAGAGCCAGGAGAGCAGCAGAGCAGTAGCAGTGGGTTATACTACAGTATTTCAGGTAAAATCTCAGTGTTTAGGAGATGTTTTTTGTTAAACCAAGTCTTTTAGAAATATTTTAAGTACAAAAAAAAAAAGAGTTGGTGTACTTCTCTAGCAAAACATTGATCAATACATTTAATAACTATGCTCTCTTAAATCTACTGAGGTGATACTGAGAGACTCCAGAGAGCATGAACAAGCATCCAGCTGCCTCAGCTTGCATTCTGCACATTGAAACGTCCATTGATTTCAAAGGACTTCAGTGCACTGTCCAGCAATTTGCGTCTACAATCTGCACATTCAAAAGAGTTTCATGAGAGCAGGAAGCCAAATTATGGAAGTTTTTTTTTTTTAAACAAACTGAAGACATTTATTTTAACAAGACTAGGATTTTATTTTTAAAATTTGACACTTAATACAAATATGTCAGGATAACACAAATACACCTGAAATATGCCAGTGCCTGAACTTTATTTAACATGCAAAAAAATCAATTAGAACACATAAAAAAATCCAACTATAACCTGTAATTTTACATTTATACATCAGAAGTGTCCATTTTAAGAAGTTGAAATAATTAGTCAATAACATCTAAGTACTGATTTATACCGCTAAAACATTTGTTTACTGAAAGAAATAATTCTATATTTGCCCACAGTCTGTAATGACAATTCTTGCATTTACTAGCCCTTTAGGAGAACCGAAGGATTCAATCTTTTTCACGACATCCATTCCATCTTTCACAAACCCAAATACAACATGCTTGAAGTCCAAGTGTTCTGCTTTTTTAAGTGTTATGAAGAACTGAGAATTATTTGTATCCCTGCCCTTATTTGCCATTGACAACAATCCAGGACCAGTGTGTTTCACTTCAAAATTCTCATCTTCAAATGCTGTTCCATAAATTGACTGGCCACCTGTTCCATCATGGTTAGTTATATCTCCTCCCTTTAAAAAAAAACAAAAACAAACAAAACAAAAGGGGGCATAGCATTAACTGACAAGTCCCAAAACATAAACCAACAATTTTACTTCCTTTTTGTTTTTCTGGAAGGCAGTGAGTTTCTGGCTCCCTATTATTTGACTATACACACAGAAGTGATAATGTATGCTATCTTGTCTTTGAAGGAAAGCCTTAGTTCTAATTGAAAAACTTCTCACTGTACCTGGAGAAAATTTAGGCAAAGCAGACCAAATTTACAATATACTAATTTCATGTGATAAAATCTCACTTTGTCACACATATATGGTGCAGATAACCATATTAAAAGAAAATCTGCTCCTTATAGGATGTGGAATACCTTGAAACAAGCTTAAGCCCTAAAAGACCTAATGATGCTTTCCTTATCAGACATGGCTCTTTTGCAAAAACTTGGCACCTAAAGTGCATACTTCAGGCACAGGTGATACCTAATCAAGAGACAGGGTAACATTTTATTCTGGTTAGAAGCCATTCATGTATTACTGTCTAATTTTGAGTTTCTAGAAGGCTGTCTACATAACTCAGCTTCAGTGATGTAGTGACATCCTGAACATTAGCATAGCGTATATGGAAGTTGGTTCATTCTGCACATTATAAGTCACTAAAACTCAATGAATTCTTGATGAGAGTTCTAGGAAAGGAAAGGTCTGGTCTATGATCTATCTCCTAAGCCTTCAGCATTCATGAAGAACTTGCTAGTGCTACTGAATGCACACCAAGGTTTAAAACCAACACTGTCTACATGGGGGTTCGGATGCACTGCAGGCTGATACTCTTGGTGCAAAATTTGAGTATTTTAAGAACAGGCCACTGCATGACAATCAGATCTAGAAGACTTCTTTTAGATGGAAACCTGAACATCTAAATACTGGGAATATCAGTCTTCGAGTACACGCTACCTGAAATACAAAGTGTACCTTAAACTGTAAGAGAATCCTGGAAAGTAAGTGTTCTTAGCAGGTGAGCATACAGGAGCTCCTCTCTGTACAGAGAGAAAAATGAATGGTAGTTATGGGAACACTTACTTTCCTTAGTGTTCCTGTTCAGCAACAGGCCCCTTGCCCTTTCTAAGAGGATTTCTTTATCTCCACTTTTTATTTCCACACTAACGTGACACCGCTAGGTAACACTGAATCATGAGGAGCTGGCAGACACAGGTAAGCATCTGGCTTAGGGAAGCATGTGCTGCTTGCACCATTTCTCATCTCCTTGTAGGGAAAGGGCAGATAAGAGTATCCTGCACAGTGGATCCATGCTGCCAACATGCTATCCTGTAGAAGTGATTTTTTGAAGCGCCATCTTTAGTCAAGATGCATTCTCATTCTCTCGAAGAGTCTTCCTGTTATGCTTACCTGACACACAAAGTCGGTGACTATTCTGTGAAAGCGGGAGTTCTTGAATCCAAATCCTTTCTCTCCTGTGCACAGGGCTCTGAAATTTTCAGCAGTTCTTGGGACAATATTTGAAAACAGCTCCATGGTTATGTGTCCTAAAGGTTCATCATCAGCAGAAACTTCAAAATACACAACAGGGTTAGTGTCCTTTGACAGTCCTGCTGCCAGAGATAAGTGCCCCTTCTGTAGTTCTGACAAGCTTAGCTGGCATTCTTCAAACCTCCTCTTGAAAGAATTAGCCATTTCTTGGCTTTTAAATCGGACTGCAAGTTGCTCAACTTTTACTTCACCATCTGAAAATAAATCCAGAAAGAAGGTTTCTTTAGTTTTATCTTATAATCATTTCCTGGGAAAAACAAAGGCACAGAAACTACAGACCACTTAGGAAAAACAACAAAAACCACCTGAAAGACTCACCAGCATAATCTGTGGCTGTCCAAATTAAAGCATTGTTTGATGTATCAGAGGGCACTAAGTTCATTTCTTTGGTGATGACATGGTTTGCACAGACCTTAAGCACTTGGTCTCTTCTCATTAGGACTCTATAGTATTTCTTCTGTGTATGGAAGAGGATCTTGATCTCTCCAACACCACGCTCCTTCCACTGAGTAGCATCCCTGTCCCATCTGTAGAGTTTTGCCCTCTCTTTGAAGAGAATCTCTTCGTCTTCTTCTCCAGATTTTACCTCCACCTAGAAAACCAACACAGTAGAATGACTACCTGTGATTTCCTAGGAGAGATATTAAATAGTTATTACATACAGTTATGATGATTCTGACACATTACAGTGGAAAATTATTCAGTGTGGTCCCTTCTCCAACACAACATTCGTAACACTAAAGTGAGTGTGACATTTAGCCTTTTCAGAATTTAATTCCACTGTTTGAGATTAATTATAGCACTGCAATACTCCTTCACCATGCTGCATATGGTTTTGGCAAGTTTCCCAGGAAAGTTTCAGGTTTGCTCCATGATACGCTTACTGAGAAGGGAAGACGCAGTACTATTACAATTGCAGGAGTTCTTCTGAACATTGTTTAAGAACTTGATATTTGCATTTGAAGAGAATAAACACCAAGTCCAACAAACAGGCCTGACAGATATATCTCCCTTTATGTATGCATATTACGGCCTCTAACCTCCTTTAGTTAGCACATCTTCCAAAGATAAGGAACACTTGAGAGAACTGGAGAAATGTGTGATGAAAAACATTACAGAAGTCATAATACGACACACAGATGAGCAAAAGCATACTGAATTTTGAAGAAGGTGGTTGAAAGCATGTTACAAAATAAATCAGATTAATACTGTTCAAATTAAAGAATGCTGTATGCTGTTTATATATGCTCTATTTGCCTCGCTTAATAATTTTACTAATCTATAGTTGAATTATATTATTAATAGAAAGGCCAGACATTATGACTAGCATCAAAAGAGTCAGAAATGGTTATTAGGCACACTATGGCTAAATACCAAATCAAGACATAACTGTGTGAAGCCTCACTGCATAAGTCGTAATTCTACCTTCAAAGTTTAAGGTTCTACTTCTTGAAAAACAATTTATTTTCCAAGCAACAAAGTTAGTTCTCTTAGCCTTCAGGTGAACTTAACTGTGTATCTTTTTGCTTAGGGATCCTAAGAAATATCTTGCCTACCTTAGAGTAAAAATTGTAAGTTGCTATAGCTTCCACAGAACTGAATCTACAAGCCTTGATACAAAGCCACAGCTGAATTGTATTGGCACCAGCAGTTATCCAGTTCTCCTTCCTGTTCTTCAGCTGTGCTATATAATGTTTTGGTTTTTCTAAGTTATATGTACAAATTTGCATTCTGATCAACACTCAGCCGAGGTATAGAGAAATCCATGTTTAAGATTTTAACTGAGGCACCAGACCCTTCCCCAGTGCTACACTGTACTAGGATTTAAAACAGCAGGTGTTTCTACACAGCCAGTGTAACATATGCAGAACAAGGTGCACATAACACAGAAAGTAAAGTTAAGCATGTCTGCTAACATAACAAGTTTTTAAAAAATGTTTTGCTTATCTTAATGTTGTTTTATATTCCAGAAGTCATCTTACCTCTGGTAAAGACACAATTGGCTCAAAGTGGATATCATCACTGTGTACCACCTCATCATCACTACCACCTTCATCTTCATCTGCTTTACGGGCAGTGTCTCCAAACACAGCTGCTCCTGTATTTGCCCATTTGAAGTTTTTATCTACAATTAGGAGAGTTACATTTTAAACTTTGTGTCATTTTTTTTCTTCCTGATAAAAACTTGCAAAAAATTGTTGTTTCTACAAATCAGTAGAAATATGGTACATAAAAGTTTTATTGTATGAAGCAGAAGCCCAGCTGAGGTCTGCCTCAGAGACTAGTCCAACTCACCTTTTGAGCCAAAAGCGAAATCTCCAGAGCTTTTGGAAGCCAGATCTGCAAATGACAGGCCTGCAGTATTGCCAAAACCAAATGAGATGACTCTGTTTTCTATCAAATAAGAGGGGAAAGTCAAAAGTTCTTCTCTACTTTCTTAAAGAAAATGCATTTATGTAGTCACACAAGAATATACTGGAGAAGTGTCTACAGTATTTTTATCATCCAATAAATTTCAGTTTGCGTGAAGTATGTCATAATGACAGTTTATTATGGCTTAAAATAAGGGCTCAAGACAGATTTTCAGCATTCTACTTCTGTGCAGATCCACAGAGCTCTAATAAATATTCATGAGGTATCTAATACTGAACTAATGAAAGTACATCTCATAAATTACATAGCAGACACTAGCACTGCTCTGTAGTAGTGAATTTGAACACAAAAAAAATTTGATAAAATTATTTTAATCCCTAGACACGTTTTTGCTAGATTGGTACTTTTGCTTCTAATTCAGCATTGGTACTACTTCTTCCCAAGACAGCAACTAAATTACATAAATTAATCTACAGAAAATCATACTACAAAAAAGTCCCAGAACATACCTCTGACCTTACCTTGTGTTGACTCCAAACTGTCTGAATCACTCTTTTTAGTTGACAGGTCTACAGGTGTGTCATCAGCTCGGGATGAAGTCTGCAATACTTGCACTGTTTCTGTGCTGGAATCTGTTTCTTCACTGCTGGTAGCTGACTGGACAAATACTGTCACCTCATTGGTTGATGGAGGAGGCATTTCTTCCTTACTGGTACAGACTAAGTCACTTGAGCTTGCAACCTCATTCTCCTGCAATTAATAAAAAAATAACATAATAGCAAGTAAGCTAGAAGAACCTAGGGCACAAACCATCTCTGCAGAGACTAAGCACAGATGTTTGAGAAAATAAAAAAAGAACACCAAGAAAAGTTGTTGTAAACTTTCTGGAGTTTGTCATGAGGCTTAACATACAAGGAGGTTAACTTGACAGGAGACTGAAGTATCTGGGAAGTAGTAAACTTTAAAAAGAATACTGTGACTTCCTGAAATCAATTAGTTCTTCTGTATACAGTAGGAGCAATATTACTAGCCAAAGCAGTTTATGAGAACACCTGAATATTCTTTCCCTTTTGAAAGAATTTAAGTTCTAAGCTTTCTGTTTCAGTGTTGGCATCAGGCACAGCCACAAAAGACTCAAATAGTTTTTCCCCATTGGATATTTTAGTTCTCACAAGGGGAAAACTGTAATGTCTTATGCATATATGAAGTAATTGCACAAGTTTAATAACAAGAAATTTAGTAAAGATTTAGTTCTTACTTTTGTTTCTTGAATTTTAGCTTCTGACTTTAAGTCTTCTGGACTGTTATGTTCAGTATCACTGCTGACACCACAGACAGATGTAGAAGGAACCTGCTGAGCTTCTGCTTTAGCTTTCTCCTCAGGAGTTGGTTTCTTTTCCCAAGTAGCAGCACATTTTCTTTCACTGCTGAATTTGCTTTTTCCTGCAATGCCTACTGCAAAGAGTAAAAATTAGTGGAAAATATTTCAGTATTTAGCTGCTACTTATTTTAATTTCTGGCACCTATACTGTAAATTAACCTCATGATAGCCAGGGCAACTTGAAGACAGACCTCGAGAGTTTTTCAAACAGCATTACTGTTTAAACAGTGGAAGTGAAGACTACCTAACTTAACTTGGGGTGACTAGAATTGGAAACATAAGTAATTCTCTATTGCTACCAGGGAATTTCCACGCAATGATGAAGAGTTCAATCTTGCAGCTGCCATGAATAACTTCAACATTTCCTCATATTTCAGATGGCTCAATATTTACACCCTTGTAGCACATATCCCCCCCAAAAAATCCCCAAACTTCACTTCTAGAAGTATCTGCTCAGATTTTCAGTTATGCAACGCTGAAGTCTGAGGCACAGTCAAAGCTGACATAAATATAAGCAAGTCTTCTACACCTGTACTTTTAGTATAAAGTCTAATTTATTTTTGAGCAACATTAACTAATAAGCTTAATTGACTATCTGCAGAAGAAGCAAATATTCAAAGATGTAGAGAATTTTTGTCTTGAACAGTATCATGCCAAGCTGAATTTTTCATATTCAGAAGAACCTCAAGGTAGGAAAAGACTTTGATGTTCTTGTTTAGAGATCACCTGAAATGAACATTTCTCATTCAGGTACCACTTTACTGCTAACTAACAGTTTCACATAGTGAGCTTAAAAGCTGTACTTTGATATGCAGCTTTTCTGCTCCCAGCATCAGTGCTTCTAAAAACTCTCTCAGGAAACAAAATTGATCTCTGCCCACGTGTCCTTCAGATTCAGTTTATGTTTCAGTACATAAAGGACAATACTTAAAATTTCTTAAGACATACCTTTAACAGGATCTTGCTGTTTCTTTTTCTCTTCTGAATCACTGGGATACAGTCTTCCGTTAAGTTTCTTAACAGCTGTTTCATAGTCTTCATCTTAAACACAGGAAACGAGTGTAAGTTCTCAGGCACCCTTCTAGGTCAGAGAAGTCTCCTAAGCCCTTTCAATTCATAAGCCTAGCAAGTATGCGTAATTTTTTCTTATGTTTTAAGAGTTCCACAAAATAACAGGTAAGCTTTCACTTCTAGTTTTCCATGCATGTGCTTGAGTGTGCTGTAACACTTTTTCTCAGTCTAGACTGTTACAGATACATGGCACAGGTTTTGTTTTCAAAAAAACACATTTCTGACAGTGATTTTATTATGAGTACCACTACGCATATTTGGGAAAGAAGACTGAGGATCTTTTACATAAAAACTTGCAAGCTCAGGTATTTGTGAAAGCAGGCTTGTCTTCTCCAATTTTCTGTTGAATACAATGCTTCAGAACTTCCATTTAACATATTTGCTGCTAAATAAATTAAGAGTAATTTAGTTGCATTTGCTAAGATTTGACATAAAAGAAGTTCAGTTTTAGTATTTGGAATATGCTTTAGAAGAAAAGCCATTAGTCTAGCATTTAGGGAACTTGAGCTTGTTAGTTTTTAATAAAGACTCAAAATACTTACTGAAGTAAGTCTCAAGTATCTGATTATTCAGTCTTACCTAACCAACTGCCTTGCTGACACTCATCAACACCCACAACACACCAAGACAAATTCTTTTTAGTCACTCCTGGGCCTCCATTGTACTATTCTGTCTTGAAGACTTGAATGTACATCTTTGGCCATAAGGATGTTGACAGGATTAATTCCCATTGGTCCAAATAAAAGTATTTGAGTGTCTAATGGTTCCAACAGCATTCACAGAGTATCTCAAGTTGGAAGGGACACATAAGGATCACCAGCTGCAGCTCTCTGCTCCTTGCAGGACTGCCTAAAACCCAGCCATATGACTAAGCAAATTGTCCAGATGCTGCTTGAACTATGACGGGCTTGGTGTCCTGAAGAGCCTGTTCCAGTGCCCGACAGCACTCCCCTGACAGCTTTATTCCATTTCCTCATGTCCCATCACTGGTCACCAGAGACAGATCAGCACTTCCTTCTCTACTGCCATCCCTAAGGAAGTTGTAGATTGTGATGAGGTCACCCCTCAAGCCTTGTCTTCTCCAAGATGAACAAACCAAGTGACATCAGCTACTTTTCCTGAATCTGGGTGAAAGGCCTTTCCCCATTTTGGTCTCACCCCTCCAACAGTCTGATGTCCTTCTTACACTGAGGCACCCGAAACCGCATGCAAAGCTCAAGGTTGGGTTGCACCAGTGCAGTGTATTACACCCTTCCCTCACAAAAAGGTAATACAAAAGTAAACTTAGGCACTTCTTACCATCATCCTCGTCACTCACATATCCAGGCTTATTCTTGTAACAGAAGAATGTTGAAGGGAGTTTGAGAAAGTCAGCGAGAGCTCTCTGTTCAGGGGTAGGTGTTAACTCATAAACTATTATAACATCATCAGATGAAAGATTGTCTTCTGACACTGTTGTCTTCTCAGCTTTTACAGAAATTGAACAAACCATTAAAACTGAATAATTTCAGAGCAGGAAATAACATTAACCCCCCATTATTACAGAACTGAATTAATTCTAAGTGCCTACATATTTTCTGTTGATCCACAGGAAACAAAATTAAAGTTCCAGGATGCTAGGACACATAATCCTGTTAAAACTCAAGAAAGCTTAACATGCATGCCCAACTACATCCTGTTCTATTGCCTTTGGAATTCAAGTATTGGAACAGAAACATTTCTGCATCTTTATATTGTTATAAAGATTATTTAAAGAAGTTCTCATATCAAATAAAATACGGCAATGGAGAAAAGGGACAGAGGTGTTACATAGAGGTAAATACATAAACTTCAGACCTGAGAAAAGAAAAAGTGAAGTTGTGTACATGTCAAATTGCATTGCTTAAAAGTGCGTTAAGTTCTAGAAAATATTAAACAGCAACTGAATAGAACTTATTTCAGGCTACCTGTGGGAAATCTATTCTTTTTATTAGCTAATCTCAATTTACCATAATAGCTGTTGCTCAAACTTTTATTGTTACAAAAGTAACGTAATTTTTAGTTTCACCTTGTTGAACAACAAAAAATATTGCTTTCAGCCTATTTAGCTAGCTTTTCTAGCAAGGACAAATATCACTATCAATTTTATTATATAGCTTTTTACCCTCTCTCCTTCTACAATAAAGTGCCCATCCCACTGGTATTGAAAACAGTGCATGATCAAAGGTTAAAGCTGAAAGTAAAGCCTAGAGCAAACTGCAGATAAACATGTGGCTATAAGGACAAGCAGACAGCTGTGGAAAAAAATATTTGAGTTTATTATGAGAGAATGGAAGCAAAGAGGGAGGATACACCAATTTAAATATTATCTATGGTTTGGTTGGGCTTCTGTTTGTTTAGGTTTTAGCATTGTTTCGAGATGGTGAGTTTGGGGATAAAGGTGTGAAAAACAAAATTTGTTTATAAGAATTACCCCAGAAGCACATCAGTAGCCACACATCAGCTGTTTCTAAGAACAATCTGATTGCTTTAGTACCTCAGCCTATTTGTTCATGTTGTTCAGATTTGAGTTAAACCAGTCAGCAGAATAAAAAAAAAGTGGTCTCAAAAGCTCACTGTGCTTTTCATTAAAAAATATTTGATAAGTTTGTGGCACAATGTAGTCAGTGGAAACCTAAATCTTAAGCTAGAAATCAGTTCCTGAAAAACACTGATTTTCCTGAGCGTACAATTTCACAATCCTCATTGCAGGAGGAGACAAGGACAGAAGAGATTTGCAATGTTTACAGACATGTCCTTTAATCCTCTGATGCAACTGACACACTAAAATAAATCTGCTTTTTAAAAGCAGTTGTCTCACTAGTATCTGCCAGTAGATTAAGAACAATATAAAGAACAGTAAAGTAAAAGCAAAATCCCAAGTACTGATTCAAATTTATGTCTTTTTTCAAAGTATTCCCTCCACTGACTCAGTGGGCACTGACTTTGCCCCAACTGACTCTCCCTTTAATTACAAATTAATAATTTCAGGCATTTTAATATACCAGACTGTAGCTCAAACCCATTACCAGGACATACAGCCTTGTAAAGTAATCCTTTTTACTCACTTTTTTTTTTTTAGATCTACAGGCCTTTCTGAGCCTGTAGAAAGCAGATATATGATAAAACTCTTGAACAGCAAATTTTTATGTTCCTATCACAACAGCAGGCTATAGATATTTTCATACATTTTCTCAGAACGTTATACAAAAAACTCACCCTAGCTGATTTAAAAATTAAGTACATGTAGTAGATGTTATAAAGATATGCACGTATCTTGCATATTATCATGTGTTTTATTCTCTCAGATTAGTTAAGCAAATGTCTTAATTGGACTGAGTAAATTTGCACCAACTTCACTAGAGGTTTAAGTGTGGAGCATTTAGTCCTACAGCAAAAAAACAGGTTTCCTTAGGATTAGAGAATTTTCAAAAATTTATTTTTGACAACAAACAACTTCTTCCAAGTCAGCCAGGCAGACAGTAGAAGTGTGTGTTTCCTCTAATGTGAGCAGTAGAAAGCTACCTAGAAGACCCTAGCAACAGATGATTCCATTCCAGTGTTTTACCACCCTAATTGCTCATCCCGTTTGACAAACAGCATTCTCCAAGAGCTATCATGCAGTCTCTTTCAGTAGCCTTTGTGCAAATAGCTGAATAAGAGAAATATATTAAAAAGTCACTTCAGATTAACTGTTAAGGTCTCTGTGAAACTGATCTATCAAACACTAGACTAAGATTCTAGTGTTCCAAACATCCTCTCAAAGTGACAAGAGTTCAACAAAGATTACTGCTGCAAACAGCTTAAATACATCTTCACAGGCAGCTGTGAAAACAAAGAGCCATGCATACCTACAACATATTCTGAAAAGAATCTTGGTTTTAGGATAATAGAACTTTCTACTTTGGGGAAAAAAATCCACACAAAATATCATTAGCATGTGAAAGAAACAAAATTAAGGGCAATATCATGCACAAAAATTTTCAACTGTGTATTTTCGCTTTTATTTTAACTGACATTAAGACCAGGTAGGTCTAAATGTCTCCAGCTAGTCACAATAGTGATATTTTTTCTCATGCATTTATCAGTGAATATCTTCTGGCTATAAGAAAAAAGCGCCAGAGTTTAAACCCTAATGCATGTAGCAGCTACAGTAACATGCAACTAACACGACTCAAACTTGTAAAGCACTGTTGTGGCTTAACCCCAGCTGGCAACTAAGCACCACATCCCCCCACCACGGTAGAATGGGGAGGAGAATCATAAGTAGAACTTGCAGGTTAAGAACACTCTAATAATTGAAACAGAAGTAAAATACAATAACAGTAAATAATAATAATAAAAGACAAAATAAAACCCAAGGAAAAACAAGTGATGCACAATACCTCTGCTCCACCACCTGCTGACTCATGCCAGAGCCCATCCCCACACCCCGACATTGCAGGTAACTCCCCTAGTTTATATACTAGGCATGATGTTCTGTGGTGCAGAATATCCCTTTGGGCAGTTTGAGTCACCTGTGTCAGCAATGCTCCTCCCAGCTTTTTTTGTGCACCTCCTCACTGGCACAGCATGACACAAAAAGAATCCTTGACTTAGGATAAGCACTATATAGCAGCAGCCAAAACAGTGTTATCAGCATTATTCTCATAGTGAATCCAAAACACAGCACTGTACCAGCTCTTGAGAAGAAATTAACTCTATGCTAGCTGAAACCAGGACAAGCACTTATAAAAAGCTCATGATCTGACCTGAGAAAAACAAATGCTTTTGCATGGAGGTGCAGAACTACTCTGAGGTTAAATTTTTTTTGAGTGTTGCTCTAGCACAACTCAGAAGCCTCTCCCCTAAAGACGTGCACCATGAGAAAGCCTCATACGACATTTGTATTGGGTAGCCTTGAAAACCTAATTTAGAAAGGACTTCTCAAAATCTTTTACTACTAAGTCAGAAATCAAAACAACGCTGACAAGAACTTACACTGAAGACAATTGTCAACTGTAAATAAATCACTAAATATATAATCATAACCCAATTATCAGAAGAGTAAAAGAACAGCCTGAAGCACCAGAGAGACATACTTTTTTTGTTTCTTTAAACACATCCCCCCCACTATACACCCCCAATATAAAACCAAGATCAATTTGAGGTAGGAATAGCTCTTGCATGTATGCACTGGCATAGAATGCCTAATCACTTCACATTACATATATCAAATGATGAAAATAGAATTGAATTGTTAATAAATGATGCACAGATAGCACAGGGATGCCTAAAATACAGAACAGGTGGTTTTTAGATAGTGCATACAGAACAGGAGTTCAGTGTTTAAATAAGAACAGCTTCTCCAGAAATACAACTTTGGGGAAAATGGTGTTTGGAATGACATTTTGAAACCTTTAAACAATGCAATACACTACCATTAGAAGAGTGTCTTATGCAGACTAAAAATTTGCTATTTAAAATTAAAATACTGTTGAACTGCATAAGCCGAGTATGCTTACAGTAAGCACGCTTGCAAGAAGCACCATTAGCAACGTCTTACAATGACTTATAATAAAACTATAAGCTGTAATGGTTTTGTTTACAGGTCCTGAACATAAACAAATCAGTTACTCAGCAAGAGTTTTCTAACCAGCTAAGGTGCACTTCAAATTATATATTTAATAAACACATAAGCAGTAGCTAAGGAGTTAGCTTTCTCATTTCTGTGCACTCCTTGTTTTTAAGACACTTAACGCTGTTAGTGTTAACTGCAGCAGTTAACACTGATAATCAGGAGATTGAACTGAACATTTCCACAGAGGCTAAATACAGTCAAGTGTTTTATTGGAAAACCTATCTCAAGATCTTCAGGCGTATTTCACTGACATGGAGTACAAGACCTCAGGCACTATGAGACATTCTCTGACAACAACACAATATCATTTCTCTAGAAAAGAGCCATTTAACAGATTCAGTGTGTACACTTAGCAAAAGTGTGATGGAGAAGTGCAAGGCAGCTACCGTCAGAAAATAAGGCAAACAGAAGCCAAAAGCTTGAACAGGGCCATCCATTGTGCTGGCTCATGTAAACATAGTAAGGGCTAAAGACATTCTTTTACAGGACAAATACAGTAGCCAGACACACAATTTTAAGTACTCTCCTTCAGCATGCATGTTAATCATAAGGATTACTGAGCCAACTGCTTTGACACAGCTGGGTTACTGTCCATGCCCGCTAGAGTGTTTTTATCACACATTCAGTGCAGTATGTAAATACCTTTACTATCAGGTTGCAAGGAGGATGTGCTTGTCCAAAAGGCCATTGGATTAGATTTAAAAAGGCTAAAATTAAATCCTAAAAAAATAAATTGTTTGTATATAAGTGTTTACCTGGAATTTTCAAAGGATAAAACAGACTTATCTACATTCTGTAAGTATTCCACAGTCGTACTTCCCAGCAGATTTCATCTGTTAATTCTACACAAGTTTACAACCCATGTGAATAGACTTGCAGCTACCATCTTCCACCATCTTCACTTTATTACACTGTAGCTAATAAATAGATGGTATGTGTTCATAATTCTGAGACATCCCATCCTTCTCACAAAGACACTTCAGCACATGATAATGGTCACGTCACAGCCACAACTTCTGTAAGCACACCTTTTTCAGACTGTGACAAACTGTGTAACTGAGGACGCAATCACACAATCTCTTCTCAGGCTAAGGAAGCAGACTAATATCTGGTTTTAAGCTACAAAACTGAAATTGCTGAGGCCAATATTTAAGACTTGAAACAAAGGTACATAGTATTTTAGAATAGCCATCTGCTCAATCATGGGGATAATTAAAATTTTAACTGAAGCATACATTAGCTGTTCTCACACTTTATGACTCAGGGCAAAGGCTCAGGTACCTACAAATCAGCCATCTATTTAAGTCTCACAAAGTGAGTCCACAGACACTTTGAGCATTTAAGTCCAAGATTCAGATACAGCACTTCAGAGTTACAGCTCCCTACCTGAAATCCCTGTTCTCAGTAAACAAAACTCCATCCTGCATCACACACTTTCATTTTTATACAAAAATACTTATGGCTTAAAATTCTCTCATTTAGTTGAAACTCTGGAGAACATATAGATACCTGCATTAGAACTGAAAGAAACTATGTATTCTCGAGAAAATAAAGAGTAATGAGTAGCACAGAGCTGGCTGCTTAATAAGTCGTGTAGTTGAATAAATTACTACTTCAATTGACACTCACCTTTTTCCAGAATTCTAAATGAGAAGTTAGAGGGACCATCTTGTGTTGTAGTAGGAAAGTCGTCTACCTTGCTATCTACAGGCTTCTGAGTAGCATTAGAGCTTTTCGGTGGTTCAGAGACTTCTGGTTCTTTTTGTGCTGTGTTCTGAGATGCTGGAATATGGCTTTCAGGTTTTTTTGGAGGATTAAAACTGAAGCCAAAGAGCGAACCAGTGGCTGAAGTATTTCCAAACGTGAATGTCTTTGACTTTTCATTACTGAAAATGCTCTTGACAGATTCAGATCCAAATACAAACTTTGGAGGAGAAACCACTGTTTTTGTTGGTGTTTCAGAAGTGTTTGACACCTCTGCAGCCTCTACAGTTACATCAGAAGTACCATCACCATGGCTGAGGTCAGTTCTTTCTCTGGTCGTTTCTTCTAGCACAGCTACAGCGTTTTTACCACATGGAGATTCCTTAGGTGTATTGGCACGAGAAGAAAGAGGTGTTATCAGTGTCTCTCTCTCTTGGGCACGCTTAGCTTCATCAAAAGTTTGCTTAAATGAGTCTGCAACATCTTGCAGCTTAAATCGCACAGCTAGAAGTTCTACTTTCCTTTCACCGTCTGCAAAGTCACATGCAGTCCACACCCATGCTCTATCAGATCCTTTCATCTGCTGCAAATTCATATCTGGTGTTATTCTATGATTGGCACAGAGTTTTAGTACCTGGTCCCTTCTCATTACTATACGCACTTGTTTGTTGTCGTAGTTCTGTAATATCTTGATATCCCCAATACCTCTCTCTTTCCACTGATTTGCATCTTTGTCATATCTGTAGAGCTTAGCTCTGTGACTGAAGACAACTTGCTCATTTTCCTCACCACTAGTCACCTCCACAAGATCAGGCAGAGGCACCACAGGTTCAAAGTACTGTCCATCTCTCTCTTCTTCTTGAGTAACATCAGAATCTTCATCTGTGCCTACTGATGTTCTACTTTGATTCTGTTTGGCAGGAGATTTGCACGGGCTCAAGGCAGATTTAAAGCTGAAACTAAAACCAGTGGTAGACTCTCCAAATCTAAACAGATTTTTCCTTACAGGGCTACTTGCAAGAGGTGTTGCATATACAGAACTATTTACACTATCATCCAATGCTTCTCCACGCAAGTCATAGTTATCCCATTCCAGAGTAGGGCCAGTACTTTCAGCATGTGGCTTTATAACCAGATCAGAAGTACTGCTGGCACTAACAGAGTTGACATTTTCCTCTTCTGACAGTTTAGTCTTGTCATCTGTCAAAAAAGTTTTGAGATCTTTTAAGCCACACTTCATTTCTTCTGCTTTCTGTATAAGCTGAGCTGTCCTACCTGTATCAACAAGTTTATGGGGTGTCTGCAGTGGTATGTCTAGCAGTAGCCTCTGACATTCTTCAAACTTCTGTTTGAACTCCTCAGCCTGCTCTGGTGTCTTGAATTTTGCTGCCAGATGTTCCAACTTTGCATCACCATCAGAGAAGTCATTGGCCATCCACATCCATGCTTTGTCTGAGCCAGAGAGCTGTTTCAAGTTCATTGTTGTTGTTATCCAGTGATTTGCACACACCTTCAGTACCTGCTCACGACGCATCAATATTCTTACTTTCCCGTTAACTTCATTTTTAAGAATCTTCAGATTGCCGACCCCACGTTCTTTCCACTGGCTTGTTTCTGGATCAAACCTGAACAACTTTACTCTTTGGGAGTATAACACTTTCTCATCTTCCTCTCCTGTAAATGGTTCTATTTTTTCAGGCATCTGAACTATAGGTTCAAAATGGATATCATCCTTCTCACCAAGGTCAGCAGATGTGTTTGCTTTGTGATCCATTTTAGAATTCTGTGTAGAAAACAGCTTTTCACCTGCACCTGAAAAGCCTTTGAAGTTAGGGTCCTTTTTGCCAAATTGAAAGCCTGCCTTAGGAGTACTTTTTGCAAGCTCCGCAAAAGTGGAAGTGCTATTTTGCCCAAAAACAAAGTCACCTTTCTCCTTGTCTGCTGTTTCTTGAAATTGGAATCCAATTCTACTATCTGAAGGCAGTTCCTTTTTGTCTTTTTCATCAGTGCTTTTTAAGAAGCCAGTTGTACACTCTTTGGATGGATCATCTTTCTTAGTGGTATTTTTACTAGATTCCTGTATCCCAAACTTAAATCCACCTGCAGGCACTTGCATTGAAAAGTTAAATCCTTCCTTTGCAGACTTAGATTCAGTATCAGAAGAAATCTGAAATGTAAACGATGGTGTCTTGCCTTGCTCAAGACCAAACTTAAAGCCTGTTCCCAACTGTCCTCCATCAAGTTCAGGTAATTTACTTTTCAAGCCAAAAGGAGGAGCTGACAAAGCATCACCAGCTGGCTTACCAGATGGATTTGGTGCCTGGCAGGCTACACAGGCTGGTGAAGATCCTTCATTCCTCACAAGACAAGTACTACAATCCCACTGCCCTTCTTTTTTAGTAAAAAGCCCTTCAAACCCATTTTTCTGTGGCTTACTTGTATCAGCAATGGAACCAAACCCAGGAGCAGGGGATGCCTGAACAGTAGGTATAGGCATATTTGGTTGATTCTGAGGGTTAGGACTCTGACAAGAACAGCAGTTCACATTTTTTGCTTCGTTTCGGACTAGGCATACAGAGCAGTCCCACTGACCTTCTTTTTTAGAAAAAGCAGTACTCAAGTCATTTTGAATAGCCTTTGGAGCAATTGCTTGGCCAAACTTAGCAGAAGTTTGTTGACTAGATACTCCTGTATTACTTTTGTTTGGATTCTGGCAGGCAACACACTTGGAGGCAGTGGGTTCATTTCTTTCTGAACAGACACTGCAGTCCCATTGACCTTCCTTTTTAGCAAAAGCAGATCCAAATTTGTCCTGCACTGTGTTACCACTGGCTTTGAAACTTACAGAGCCAGTTAATGGGGCGTCATGTGTTTCCCACACATCTTCATTTGGATTTTGACACGATACACAATTCTTTGCAGTTGCTTCATTTGGAACTAAACCTACTTTACACTCCCACTGATCCTTCTTCATGAGATGCTGCCCAAACCCACCAGAAGAATAGGCTTGCTGAGCATCCTTTCCAAATGAAATAGTAGGGCCAGATGCAGCTGATGTAGCTGTAAGGCTGCTTTTGCTGTCAGATTCACTGCTCACCCCATCTTTCGGGAACTGAAAGCTCAAATTCAGGGTTCCAGAAATGGATGTGCTAGGCTCCTTGATGTCCTGATTTGTTGTTTCTTTTGCGGTTCCACTATTCTGAGTCACAGATGCGTCAGCATTTGATCCCAGGGATTTTAAAATATTCTGGGCCTCCTCAAACTTTTTTTTGAAAAGCATTGCTTCCTCGGGCGTTTTAAATCTAATTGCGAGCTGTTCTGGTTTTGGCAACTCGTCTGCATAATCTAAAGCATGCCATACGAATGACTTATCTGATGTAGCATTTGGAGTTAATTTCATATCAGTATTTATGTAGTGATTTGCACAGATTTTCAGCACTTGGTCTCGTCTCATTAAGAGACGAAATTTGCCAGATACTTTATGTTTCAGTATTTTCACATTTCCAATTCCCCTTTCTTTCCATTCTTTAGATTCTGCATCAAAACGAAAGAGCTTGGCTCTGTTGCAGAAGAACTCTTCTTCATCTTCCTCACCTGTCTTTACTTCAATCTTATCAGGGAGTGGCACCACAGGATCAAAATGAGGACCATCATCATCCTCATCTCCACCATGGTTGCTTCCTCCCTCTGTTTCATGACTTCTGTTCGCCAAATCTGAATTTGAAGTCATAAATACAGGTTTGCTTGGTTCTTGAACACTAAATGTATCATTCTTCTCAAAAGCCAGGTTTTTGTGTGCATTTTGTCCCATGTTCTCTCTAAGAGAGATGCCTGGAATATGCTTATTGCTAAAATTGAAGATATTTCTTGAACTATTTGTGTGATCATTAACTGGCTTTTGTTCAACGTATCTATCATCCTGTAAAGGTTTATCAGATGTCAGAAGATCCAAGAGGCTTTCTCTGCTATTATAAGGTGCATTAAGAGGCTGTGGTGCTACTTGAGGGGGAGAAGAAAAGGTGAAGTCTCCATCATTAGACTTGAAGTTAGGTTTAAATTTAAAAGTTGGTGTCTGACTTGGCTGTGCTGGTGTTGGCAGAGGTGTTTTTGATCCTTCAGTTGTTCCCGGCTGTCCAAATTTAGGCATCACTTTTGATTCTGCGGGCTTTAAAGTTGGTGGCGTGACTGAACGGTTTGTGAAATAGCCTGGTTTAGGCAATGTTGGATTTGTGCTTGCCTGTGGAACGCTGTAATTGTAATAGTCATCACCCGCACGAGGAGAAATGAGCGCAGTACCAGGAGAATCAAAACGTAGAGGTGGGCCGTACATTTCTTGGGAAAACATACAACCAGAAGTGTTTTGCAGAGGTGGTGTATGCATTGGTGGTTGATAGGAATATATATGTGGCTGAGGTGTAAGTCGGTTCATGCCATAGACAGGAGGCTGAAGAAAAAGCAGAAAACAAGTGCTTTGCTTACTATGACAACACAGAGGACAAAATCCTACTTGTGCTGAAGCCCGCATAACATGTACTCTTAAAAGGAGGGCATACTTTCATACAAGTTTAAATCTAAACTAATTTTACCTTAGTTTAAACTGATTAAACCTTGAAGGGCATTTGAAAACAAGCATTGAAAAAGGGGCACAATGTGAGTGGGCTGCTTTTTTATGGAAAAAAGCCTTGAAACTCCCATTTTCTTTTGCCATACTACTTGGAGGGGGGGATAAAGCGCTATCATACATACTCTGTAGGAGAAATGTACTAACATACAGCAGATATTTTGCTGGCTTTTCCTCCCAGACTCCACATCCCAAAAATTAGGCAGAAAGACAAATTAGTCTTGGACTAGCAGTCCAAGTTAACCAAATTCTGCATAAGGAACTGGAATTACATCCAACTATGTATAGAATCAAAAGCAGTCATTTTTCAGGAGGTCACTAGAAGCAGCTGAAGTGAGTAGATTTTTCTCACCTTTGTTGGTGTTACATTGGTTGCGGCAGTTCCGAGAAGATACTGAGAGTTATAGGCAGGAGACTGGCTGTAGAACACAGATGGACCAGTGGTAGCAACTAAAAAGGAACACCAGGAAAACAAAGTTCACACTTGATCATTTTTTGTTGTTGTTTTGAATGGACTCTCCATAGCAATCAGTTTTTAATTGTGAATCATTAAAACATTTTGGCATTATTTTCAAAAATTTAGCTAAGCATCTAGGTACGAATTCTGCAGGAACTTGCCTGTTAATGGTGCTTCATGAAGATTTTGTGCTCTCTGATAACCGTCTGGCATTGTATCTGTTCCATAGTTTTCAGCAGACCAGCGAGAAGATGCATTTGTGTTGGAATTGTTAAGTTTCATTTCTTGCATTTCATTCTGTCAAGGCAGCGTTCCAAGCAAGAGTGTAAGTATGTATCACGCAGGTATTTATAGAATAAAACATGATCCCTACCCTTTTGCTATTTAAACACATTTTCAAGCTCAGTGGTGGCAGTAATTTAAGAAATCCCCAAGAAGTACTTGCCAGAATCATGCAGGATCTGCCCATGCAGTACAAAGTACTAACATCGTGTTCCAAAGCCAGAACAAGCCAGTAAAAAAAAAAAAAAAAAAAAAGAGCCAAATGGATGAGAACCAAACTGATAAAAGCAGAACTCTGCACATACAGTCCCCAGATGGGGTGCATCAGCGAACCTGCCTAAGTCCCAAAGAGAAGTTTTAAACAATAGATATACTCTTGTACTCAAAGGCCAACTGTTTTTCACTGAATATGGTGACAAAATTTTTACCTTCAAAGCTTCCACTTGTTGACAAATCATTTGAAGTATAGATTTGTGATCTTCTGCCCACTGAGGAGGAGTTTTAGGAGAAAACTAGGAAAAAAAATTTTATTGAATCTTGTGAATTTTTCTTCAGACATAATAATTCCCTGAAATAATAACTGGCCAACATACCTTGTAGCTCTTAGTTGGAGAAAGAGAGAACTTAGTTGGTGATGGAGTGGAATGTTTCGTTGCTGAATCTACAGTTCGTGACAGACCATTTCTGAAGGCAGGACTTCCCTCTTCAACATTCTCGCCAAGTTCCTGGATCACTGTATCTAGCACTTCCCTCACAGTTTCAATAGACACGGGCAGCTAGAAAGTTATTTGAAACATGAGTCATGACTGCAATTCTCCCTCAGAGCAAGACAGATTACATTCAGAATTCTGGCTGAACAATTCACAAGGCTTTCATTATACAAATACTGATTTCTTTTTCAGAAAAGCTCTAAATCTGTTAAGATTCACATAAGAAAACAATTCACAAGCAATTATATTTTTTCAAACTATCAACTTGTATAAAAAGGCAGTGGCAAAAGCTATTTGTTTACATTAAAGCTTTCATCCACAGAGTAATCAGGATAATACATGATCTGGTAGGTTACAGAAGTTACCCAGAGTTTAACCTGCTTTAGTGCAAGGACTAGTCTAAAAATGTAACCTAAATGCAAACAGCTTCATTTTGAAACAGTAACCTAAGCCCCTCTGTGTCTTGAAAAAAGTTCTTAAAGCAAGAATTACTTACTTTCTCAGTTACTGACATATCTGAGGAGCTTTCCGCAATGATCTTCATTAGATAATACCTGGCTTTAAGAAGATAAGTTTTGTGCTCCTCGTGTTCTTCTGGCAGCATGGCATCATTTTCGATCTCTTCTGCCTTCCTTTGGAAAATCTAAAGAACAGGATGCAGATTAATTAGTATCAGTCAGAAGGCAACTGAATAAAGGAAAGCATTTCAGGGTAATGTAACTTACAAACTTACCATGGCAAGATTCCAGTATGAAACCACATTCTCAATAGCTTCAAATGCTAACAAAGCATCATCAGTTTTGCCATCAACTGCATCCAACATGGCAAATGCTATATGTGCCTCTTCTTCATATGCTGCAACCTGAAAGACCTACAAATAAAGTGAAGGACAACTCATACCTAACAACGGAATGACATTTTTTCTTATAATACAGGGAGAATTCTTTATCAAGAAAGTTTGTACTAAGGGTGTTCAGTGCCTTCCAATCGTAAACATGATTTCAAAGGTAAGACTGAAGTTGTAAGGAGAGGATTTTCCCCCTTTATCAAACGCTGATATTACCGAATCTCATCATTAATAGTTTCCTAGTAACAACGTGAGTTGCACAATGTAGACAAAAATCCCTCAACTATGTACATTTCTGACACAGACCTTCTCTTACTTCAGCCTTGGCTTAATCAATCTGTACCTGAATGTCTACACTATGGAAGTGTTTGAAGAGAGGATCAGTAGGTTCAGAAATACTCCTCTTCTTTTTGATAATTTCCAGCATAGGCAAAACTTTCTTCCAGTAATAGACACTTCGTCCAATGTATTCCTTCTGGTCATAGAAAGAGTTCCGGTTGATTCCCTGGTGAAGAAAACGGAACAGAAGCACATGTTCTTTCAAAAAGTTCAAGTCAAAATGCTATTCATACAAATCCTTCTATTTTCTTTAAAAGTTTCAAGAGTCCTTCTCTGACACTAAACAAAGCTATGTAAAGTAACATACACGTAGAAAATAACATTGCAGTTCAAACCAGTACTTTATAGAGGGACTATTATAGAGTGACTAGAGCAACAAATTTGCCTAATAAAATTAACAGCTGTTCTCAATATTACATACTCATCTGATCCCTTGTCACCCAAGTCTGTTCATAGTTTGGAAAACAGAAAAACATTTCTACATATTTAAAACCAAACAAACAATCTCAGCTTACTGTTTTTTGCAAGCTTTTTGCCCAATGTATGATTAAGGCAGGTTGCAGGCCATGCTTCTCCAGTGTCCGCAGAGTACTTATGCCACGCTGTACAGTAAGCCTCAGTTTTGCTGCTGTTCCTGGTCTGAATATCAGAAGAAACATTTCTTCATTAGCATTTAATGTTTCTCATCTGTTCACATAGCATTTACTTGATGAATACATCCCACGGTTTTTAGTTCTAACCTGCCTTGTTTAGAAATGCATTGTTAGAAATTAAAATTCTATTTTTACAAGTCTTTCAAACGTATCAAGTCCCTACTAGAACAAAGCTTCAATTTCCAAAATACTTAATTTTTCAAGAATCTATTGGGACCAATCAAAGGTGCTCGAGCTCCCTTTATGGAGCTTGATCAAATATCTCCAAACTGAAAAAGCCTTACATTGATTTTCTCTGAAGAAGGGTACGAACAGCATCCCACCAGGATCTTTGGTCTTCAGTATAGAGTTGTTTGCACACTGGCAATGGTAAGAATTGAGGCTGATGTGCACTGTAGTGAGAATTAAACTTCTCTTGCAATTGCAGGTTGCTAGTGAATACCACCCCAAGTAGGAATACCTATTTTTATTAAAAAAAATAAAAAGTATTAAACAAACAAACAAAAAACCCCCTTAATTTATATTGTACATTAAAAAACTTGGAAAGTTTACTTACTTCAAGGTCTAACAAACAAATGGATTCAGGAGCATCTGTCTCAAGTCTTGATGTTTCCTGAGGCAAGTGGAAAAGCTGTTTTAACCACTTGCGCATCGGGGGCAAGACTGACATGGAGTTCCATTGCAAGCCAAGCCACACGAGGTGCTGGAGACTGCCATTGTGCATTCGAACAGCACCTGTGCAAAACCAAGGTTGGACACAAATGTCAGCTTCCTACAAGTCATCAAGACTTGTATCTGATCAAAGCTAGGTTTCACATTTCCCTCTGTCATAGCAGCCAAAGATACGTTACAGATCGATGCACATCAAGATTCCAGCTTTCACTTATGAAGGATTACAAACTTCAGATTAGCCAAACATATCACGTTCATCTAAGTGCTCACAGACATCAACCCCTTGAGCTTCTGACAGAGTGACTCTCAGATTTCCTCCATTTCCATCCTCACTTTATTCAGTCCAACAGGCAACTAATTTTAGCCAACCTATTTCCTTCTCCAGAAATCTTAAAGGAATTATTCAAGAAGCACTTCTCTACTTTGCAATAAAGTACAAGTTTTTCCTAGGACATTAGGGCAACTTTGGACAGCTATGCCAGGTATTTGTCTTTCATTGCAATATGAAGTATTTGTAGAAGAACTCCAACACATGAAGTTGTGTTGAGTTTCAGAAAGTAACACCTCTTACCAATATCGTATTTATTGAGTTCCACTTGCACTGGTGCTTGTGTACTGATATTTCCAATATCATCTGTGCCAATAAAAGATCTCTCCCTTGAAGCTCCACTCTCAAACAGGCTATCAAACAACGTAAATGAACCACTCTTGTTTGCAAATGATTCCACAATCTCTTTAAAGAAGTCTTGCTTGCCATGGCTTAAGTTCAGCAGCATATGACCTAGAAAACAGAAATACACTTCACATTAACAAAGCAGTGGACATGAGGAAAGTAGCATTTGCTACACTGGACTGTTCTTTGCTACTGAAGGCTTGGCAGGAATCAGGATTTCCCCTTATGAAACCTACAGACTGCTAAGATATGCTCTCCTTGTAATTAGGTCTGTGTATCAGCACATAGGTTTTCCAAGCTCGAAGTGACAACAATGCCAAGGCATTTGCAAATCCAGCTCTTTCAGAAAACAAAGCCATCCTACCATTACTATTCTAGGGGCATTGCAACTGACCTTAAAATAAGTAGCTATAATAGAAGCAGAAGCTTGTGTTAACAAAATCCATTCTGAAATAACTGAACCTGATGTTTAATGGGTTCATTTGTTTTCATTTAGGTCCTGTAAGAATTTTGTAGACTGAAAAACTGTCTGTACTTAGCAGCAAAAAGAACAAAGTTGAAAAACGAGATGAAAAGATTGGGGAAAAAAATAGTAATGTTTTCTTTTCCTCTTGGGGCTAACAATGCTTGTAAAATAGTATCAATAGGTAAAAGATATTTCAAGTTGATTTAGAGACCATAAAAGTGAAGTTCTACCTTAGTGTGCTGGAGAGTCAAGAAGGTGGAAAAAACCCCCACCACTCTTGGGAAAAAAAAAAAAAACAAACAAAAAAACAAACCACACTACCAGCATGCTTAAGAGGAGAAAAAAAAACACTTTTGGTGTCAGAACCAAACTAGTATTTTTATTTACATATGTAGTCAGAATCTAGAAAGTTTTATTGCATATTGCGGTGGTAACATTATAAGATTACAATGTGTTTTTTAACAAATTACTTATTTTTTACAGTAACTCTAATGCTAAAATGGAACTATGCAGCTATTTTTATTACCAGACTGGCTTTTTCGATCACAGGCCATCATTTCTAGCACATCTTGTCCAGTTTGATCCCCCTTTATTAGTTTTGACTTTGGTTGAGGAACCTGGTGAAGTAAGGAGAAAACTGTTACAGCTTTTTCACAGTAGGAGCAGAACAACTAAATATAATCTTAGAAATTAAGAAACTAGTGTCTTTTTAGCATTAGGAAACCAAAGGAAAACAGACATCATTCATTCTGAAGGTACTGCATCATATATCCAGGGATGGGGTTCTGTTCTGGTGTGGGGTGGGTGAAGAGAGCAGAGAATCCACCCGAAGCCCATAGGTGTGCAATTACAGCTACTAAAAGTAATATTAAGTGTACACAAGAGCAAGTAATACCTGGAATACAAGCAATGGCATAAAAAGGATGATCAAGACAAAGAATTCACATGCAAAGGAGCTTGATATTTTTAATTCTGCTGCCTACACAAAAGGTATATGGGAACTATTGAATTCTTCTCCTTCCCTCCCTATAGCAATAACACTCAACGTGTGTATTCAGTTGTACTACGGAAAAGGGAATATACTGCAGAAAATAATTGCACTAACCTTTAAGAATCAGGTTACTCTGACAAGGGAAACAGCTGAAGGTGTACTTTTACCCTATTCATGTCATTTGAAACCTTTTAAACAAATGTGAAAGGGTGAGGACAGAGTCCTCCTTTAGGTAGACAAGCACTCAGTTCATCTCAGGAATACAGGAGTTCAACATGTGCACAGCAAGAACATTTCAGGAACTGCATCAACTAAAGGCATAAACTGAAAAATCACTTACCTGGAAACTTATGAGATAACACAATGCTGCTAGTTCACACACAGCTCTCCACTGTGCCTCATTGTGTTGGGCCATTTTCAGCAGCAAAGTTCCAGCATGCATGTACAGCTGTCCTTTCATTTCCACATAGGTACGATACAACTCATCAGCCCCATTCACATACGGTTTCACTGACTGAAGTGCTCGGTCAAAACTAAAATATAGAGAAGACTCATTCAAAACAGAGTCTTGGTAAAAGCTATAGCAGGTGATATTGGTACATGTTATTTAACTGTGAATTGAGTAACTTTGTGAGTCAATGGTCAGTAATGTTTCTATTGCTTAAACCCAAGTCACTAGAAAGTAAACACACTAAACATTATCTACATATTTATAATCTTTTTCAGCACATTTTTTCACAGCTACTTTCAAAACTATTCTCCTGAACCATGTAGATAAACTTGTTCACTAATGCAGATGTAGAGACTTGCAGAAGGCACTATTCACTCTACTCTTTCTTTTCCTTCATTTATCAGAAAAGTCCAAAATACTCTGTACAGGTTCTTCAAAAACATAAGGCACTGCAGAAATTCTAGTAGCTGTAGGCAAGTATACAACCCCCACTCAAGAGAGGCTTTCCAGAAAACAATTATAAACTCTTTCAATTACTGGGCAAAACTATACTGGCTGTTAGCATTGCCATGGCCTGGAAGTGCTTCACATGTAAACACTTTGAAAAGCTCTAATAAATCAGCAGCAGAAAACCCAGAAGGTCAATGTCAAAGGAGAAAAATAAATAAAATATACTTCAGTATTAAATATTCCTCATCCATTGTCTGCATTGCTTCAAATACCCACGCAAGATTAACAGACTGAAGAATATTTTTACAAAAGGCAATATAATAGCCATTACACAACTTAGGAACAAATATAAGTCAGTAAAGGCCAGTAAGAAAGGGAAGATAATGGCAAGAAGAACACAGACCTTAATATATTGACTACATTGTTTTGTACTATTCTAGGTGCACCACAGATGGTAACCTTGAAGTAAGCTGTAATACCACTAGTTTTATCTGAAGGAGGGTGTTCTTACTGCAGATGGTTTCCTCCCTTCACAAAGTTCCGAACTATTCCAGTGTGTTGTGTTAATTTACAATAAAATAACCAGGACAAAGCCAATATACAAGAAGTGGGTTCAGTTTTCCACTTTGAGGGTTATATTGTGGATTTGTTTGGATTGTTCTGAGTTTTTTAGGTGAGTGGTTTTTTTTCAAATTGTCTAGAAAATCTGGATTAGTCAATTGCTGAAGCACAGAACAATATTTTCTTATTGAAGGGAAAGAAGGTACAAAGTTAATTGACCTGGGATATCAATGAGTCTTCTCCATGGCTGTGTGCTGACCATTCAAACAAGGCTTGTATCTCAGTCAAAAGACAGCCTGGGGTTCACACCCTATACAAGAACCGTTCTTAGTGGCCAATACAGAGAATCACCTCTCCCATCCACAAATATGTGAAATAGAAGCTTGGCAGATGTTCTGTAACCCAGAAACAAAAAAACCCCAAACTATTCCAAGAGGTTGTTTGTTTTTTTTTTAATTACAGGAAAGTTTAAGCAGTACCTTTCAAGTGCCTCTCTGCACTCCTGAACATCTCTAGAAGAAAGTGTGAGTTTGACAAAGCTGGAATAGGCCAGCAGATGATCTTTCTTGATACTTCTCCAGTTATTTTTATCAGATTCCAAGTCTTGTAAAGATTCCAGATATTCCTAAAGAAGAAAGTTCATCACAGGATAAGGAACAGTCATCCTTCCATGAAGGCAAGGGCAGTACTTCTCCAAAACACACTAGTAGCATTTACTGCATAATCCAGTTTCACAGGTGAGATCTTAACATATTCTTCAGCAGCAAAGTTCCAGGGAACTATTTGCTTGAGCAATTTTATCCCTAGTGGAACTGCTGTATCTAACTCTGCTTTTGTAGTTAGAAACTCAATAGCTCTATAAAGCTTAATTTTAGAGAGGAAATTCCAATTAAAAAAAACCACCACAGGAAGTATTTTGTAATTCCACTGGTTTTAGTAGACTTGCATTTGAAGGAGTTAAATCCCTTGAGAAATAGCTGTCAGAGTAATGACACTAAGAGAAACAGACCAGATAAAAAGATATGGAAGACTATCACAGGATCAAAATATGATTAAACACCTCAAATGTCTCTACAACACAGGAACACCATTCCAAGCTTGACTGCAAAGGTATTTTCTTCTCTGCCTCCTGACAATGGAGCACAGCATCTTTTAATCTATTATTTGAACGGTAGAGTGCAACTAGTCGGATGTTTATGTAGACGTCATCTGGTCTTGCATAAAGTTCTGCTTGAATCAAGTCAAAAAGCTGGTTCCACCCATCTTCACCTTTACAATCCAGTAACTGCTCCTGTTAACACATGAAGGCAATGTGTTAATACTTAATTTACCACGTGAGTCTCCTAAGCAACTACAGTAACAGTCTTCACTAAAAAGACCACCTTACTTAAACTCTACTACTCATAATAGTTTTCAGCTTTTATATAAAGTTTGATTAAATACTCATATAGTTAAACATGTAGATAACTATCACAGAAGAAAATCTTCAGAAGAATTTACCTCTTACCCAGGGCAAGAAATGCTTCTCAAACCACTTGGTTCAATGACAGCATACCTTGCCATAGACTACCTCACTTAAAAAAACCAAACATCTTGAGACTTCAATGTGACTGCTGACTAGCTATACAAAATTAATATGCTTGTGCAAAAGAGACATTGCATGGCTGAAAGCATTTACACGGCATTTGAGAACTACAGCATTTCTCACATTCCGCAAAGCTGATCATAATATTTATTTAAAAACATAAAAGCAGTGTAAACCAAGAAAGTTCAAGTTCACAGGCCTGGCACCTTCCTGCAAGTGACACAACAGAAAGAATAAGTAGTGCCTATCCAGTCTTAACTTTCTGAGTGTGATAACTAACAACATTTCTCAGCATTTTTGAAGAGGATTAACCTTGAAATATTAAATAGTGTATGAAAGCTTGTAGTTGCAGCTTTCTTGAAAGCTAGACAAAAATGTCAGACTGCAAAGAATGTAACATCTAATAATTTTAATACTAATGATTCTAAAACAATTTAGCCAGGAAGAGTTTTGCTTGAGGTGACATGCAAAAAGTACTCTGGTCAGATGCAGAAAGTTTCTCCAAGCCAGAGGTAATTTTGAACTTACCTTCAACCTGTAAATAGCAGGACTCCCAGGGAAGAGCTTAGCAGCTCTATCAACCCAGTATTTTGCTCTTCCATCAGTGATGTCATTATTGCATAGTAACTCTGCAATCTTCAATACAAGATCTTTCTGTGTTGGGTTCAACTCCACAGATCGCTAGTTTTCCCCATACAAGAGGAAAAAAAAATAAAAAGACAACTTGATCTTATGATCCATACAGAACAGGTAAGAGTTATACCTCCAAAAACATTCTGTTCTAATGAATTAGACCTATAAACACAGAATATATAAGAAAAGCCTTTCCAAATGCCACTACTAGTTTACAGCACCCAGATGCAACTGCTGGAATCCAGAAGAGCATTAAGAGAAATAATGCAAAAGCCAGCTCCATTGCATCTGCCACTAGCTACTCCTATATACGGGCATTAGGACTATAAGGACCTCTAGTCTAGCCAGGCGTAGAAACTTCAAAAAGAAAAAATAAAGACAGAGTTTAAGAAGTGTGATACCACTTCATAAAGCTGTATTGGTCAGACTTCTGAGCACATAGTCTCTCTCTCCAAAACCAGAACAAAGGCATTTCGACTGAGAATTTGCTTGCCTAATCAAAATCAGATTTGCCCTTCTCTTCTGCCCCTCCAAAATCAACCAACTAAAAAACACACTAAGTCTACAGTCTTATAGCAGCAACTAGACTCCAGTTGTCATCACAGTTTGCAATGTATGACAAGGGGAGAATTTAACAGCAGGTAGCACAAAGATCAAGACTAGAACAAAAAACAAAGAAGTGACTTAAAAATATACTACTGAGGCAAGTGATATCGAGTCAAGAATCTTCTCTGCAGTGCTTCATGTGCTTCCATTGTCAAATGTAATACAGTTTTCCCAGGAGTAAGCTTTCTTCTATAGGTTTGAGAATGTTCAGCACAGAAGGATTTTAGAAGTCTATTTAGAAGAAATAAAGCAGGATATTAGGGGTCAGTGTAATACTTACCTTGTAACACCCAAAAGCTTTTTCTATGTTATCCTCAGCTTCATAAATTTGTCCAAGAAATCTGTGTGCTTTGGGATCTCTCTCTTGTACATTGAGGTATGTAGATATGTATCTATGAAGGGGGAAAAAAAGTCAGTTACTTGACCAGTATTTTTCATTAAGACTTCCCCTCCCACCTTGAGCTATAATGACAACTTAATCTGCCACACAGGAAGTACAGATGTATTCTGCTCTAGATACTTTGGCCAGACCATACAGGAAGTATAGACATGTTTTGTTCTAGATACTTTGGCCAGACCTTTAAGTTAGCAGCAACACAGGTTATACATGTACTAATACTACTTACTCGCCACCATTTCTGTTTATTAAAAAAAAAAACCAAACCCGGAACCCCGGAAACCCCCACCAAAAAAACCCCAACAAAGCAGAAGTTTGCAGAAATGGTAAGAACTACTCAATACAATGAAGGGGGAAAAAAAGCCACTTCAGCCTGGTAAGTTTTCCAGTACCACATAACTAACCTTCTTTTAAGTTATTGTTTTACAAATATTTAAATAGCACTCAATATCCACATTTACTGTTACCTTAAAGCAGCATGATATTGATCTTGCTTTCTCTGGTCTACTTCATATTAAGGTAGCTTTTCTTTTACATTTTAAAGAACAAAAAACCAAACATACATCAACACATGTTACCTTTTAGCAAGTTCATATTCTTTTATTTCAAAATACAGCTTAGCAAAGAGGAATCCTTTCATCGATTTCTGAAGGAGAAAAACCATGACAAACATACTTTAGACATATAGTACTTCAAAAGTAATTCCATAGTGTGACCTTTCTTTTCAGCAATGCCTAATACTCAGATGACTGAATTTGACAACTAGTTATCAGCTCAAATCCACTCGTCATACTTATGGGTTTGTTTTTGAAAGATGTAGGTTTAAGAATGAAAAGAGTAAAAGGTTTTGCTATAATTGGCAAAGGCTACTAGGCAAAATAGAGATTACAACTGAAGAAGCAACAAGCCTTTATACACGTGGTATTTCGTACACTACGCACTGAAGAGAGTGGAAGAATAGGGTCTGCTACATTTAATTTATTTCATTGCAATGTAGCAAGGAAAAAAAAATCCTACAAACGAAGAGATATCTGTCATTTAGCCCTGCTGTAATATACTGTCATCAGACACTGCTGTTTAAATATACTTAAGGAAAAAGGAATTTTTAAGTCATTCTCAGTTTGGGCAAGAAATGTATTTATGCAGTAGTTTATTTCTGACTAAAATAATTTGAACATGTACATTATACAGGTAAAAGGTGAAACACCTCCAAAGGTATTTTTGGGAGGCAGAATAAGGAAGTAACAAGGGCAAAAGAAAAAGAAACACAGAGAGCTGGCAGAGGGCAAGATGTCAGAAGCACAAATAGGAGGAAAGGAGTGAAAGGAATGGGCTAAAGAACTGATAAAGTTACAAGCAAAAACCTCAAGGTAGAGCTAAACCAGAAAATTTACAGCTTCAACTCCCAATATCAGTTCAAAAGCAGATTTCGCTTTTAAATAAAAAAAATACTGGAACTAGTTACATCTATGATTCCAAACAAGTGTGTACATTTTGAATACATTTGAATTACTAGTCTCCCTCCCTCTCTCACCAGTACTATTCATGCAAAATTTTAAAAAGTCATTAAAAATAAAAGCAGGCCTCCCAGGATACTTCGAGTTTTCAGCCTGTATTTTTGAAGTCTGTTATAAAAAGACAACACTGAAATTTGTCAGAGTGGAGTCACATTTGGCATCTCCTTTTAAACATGGATGAAAAGAAACCTCAAAATAAATGCTTTGCAGTTTTATAAGCACCCTCCTCCTAAAATCAACACAATAAGAACACCAGTAACATTTTCGACCACTGACTGTGCTTATACAATTAGTTGCAAACATTACTTATTAAAAAAAAAAAAGACAACAAACTAAATATGCACCAGTAGGTCTTAAGCACAAGAGAAGAGGATTTATTTTGTTGCTGACTTCATTAGGAATATCAAAAATATTAAAAAGCACCCATGATTCTGACAGTGATGTCCTTGACAGGGTCTGCTCTAAACAGCACTCAAGTCAATTACACGATCCACAGAACAACTTTGTTACTGTTGGAAAAGAAGTACAAATCATGAGGACCTACACTGGCCCTGCTAAAGGTCCCTCTGCATAGTGATGAACATGGATGCATTCACACTATACAACAGTGTTGAATATTGTAATTCCACAATAAAATCAATTCAGAGCAGCAGAACAGGATCTTTCATGATTTGCATCAGACCTGTATACCATTTCCCAGATATAATGAAAAATGGTAAAAAGTCATGCAGAATTCCTCATCGTCCTGTCTAGTTACTAAAATACAATAGGAAGATTATTTTTTCCCAGTTCTTCCTCTTTTAATAGTGCTATACAGACAAGAATATTAATCACGTGGCACATAAAAAGAAACTGAAAGTGTCTCACATGTTCCTTGTTTCAATTCTTTTCCCAAGAAAGAGAAACTCCAGAAACTCAGGAACTAAACTCACAAAACTGAAGCACTCAGTACTCAGAGAACTGGTAGACTCTTTAAGACTTACCAGGTGTAAAAACCAGTTGCATAGCTCTGGCAAACCATTGCTCCCAGTTAGGGAAAGCACCTCCAGTACGGGAAACCCCACGACCCTTGCTCTCAGCAGTTTCCCCTAGCTCTCTCGACTTACAGAGATCCTGAGTAAATCAGGACTCACAGATTCTTCCAGAGACACCGTAACTCGCAGAATCTCAGAATACTTCGGGTTGGAAGGGACCTATGGAGATCACCTAGTCCAACTCCGTTGCCAAAGCAAGGTCACGTAGAGCAGGTGACACGGGACCACGTCTAGGTGGGGTCTGAGTGTCTCCAGAGAGGAATCCTTTTTCCTCTTACCGCCACGGATGCGGACGGGCCGAGCAGACCGAGCCCCAGCACCGAGGCTCCGGGTACGGCGCGGGAGTCGCCGAAGCGCGGCCGCCCCGCACCCCGGCAGGGCAGAGGCAGCGAGAGCAGCCGCCCCCCGGCCCAGCCGGGCAGCGAGGCCTCCAGGCGGCGCGGGGGGAGGGGGGCCGCCCGTCAGGACGCGAGGCAGGGCCGCCGCTGCCGCCCCACGCGAGGCGGGTGCGGGAAGTGCTCCAGATGGGCTCGACGGAGCGGCCGCAGCGCCCCCCGGGCCCGGCGCGGGCGGGGAAGGCGAGGCCGCACTCACCTCTCTGGGGGACGAAGTCGCGGCCTGCACGGAGGCGACGTAGCGCTCCACCTCGGGCTTCGTGCGCCTCATCATGGCGCCGCCGCGGCGGCGGAGGCCGCGCCCGGGCTGCCTCCCGGCGGAGCGCAATTCCCGGCCGGCCGGCGGGCACGGCCCGGCGCCGCGGAGGGGCAGGAGCAGGAGCGCAGGCAGAGGAAGGCAGGAAGCGCCGGAGGAAGCGCAGCAGCGACGCGGCCGCCGCTCGTTACGCAAGTTCCCGCGCACCGTGCGGCGCGCGCAGCCCCGGCGAGTGGGCGGGGACCGCCCCCGCCCCTATCAACGGCCGTGGGGGGGCGGGGTCGGCCGGGGCGGCGCATGCGCAAGGGGGCGGGACGGGAGCGCGCAGCTGCTGAGAGGCGGGGCGGGGAAATCCGTCACAGTAAATCATCGGCTGCGTGGAACCGAGTTGTAGCGTTTTGTCACCTGCAGCTGTAATAAACTCTCACCTAAAACTATGTAACTCTCATCCAAATAATGTATAATAATGTATTAGGTGATAATATATTTCACTCATGGCTAGGCTTCGCGAACGAAGATTTGGGAGGCTCTATCCACATTTGCTACAGGCACGCTGGTGGCTTATGAGGCCAATACGTGACAGACATATCCGATTGCAAAAGGCACAACAGAAAGACTCCTTAGATGGTGTATTCTGCAATACACGGTTCTTTCTGCGTTGCCTTTTTTCCTCGAGATAATATATTTATCAGCTAAATAACTCATTCATTCATGGCTAGGCTTTGCGAACGAAGGTTTGGGAAGGGCTTTACCCACGTTTGCTACAAGCGCGCTGGTGGCTAAAAAAGCCAATGCGAGATAGACAAGACCAGTTGCAAAAGGCACAGCAGAAATATACTCTCTCTCTCTATATATATATATGTATATAAAATAAACTCTCACCTAAAACTTTGTAACAGTTCTGGTGCTCCTGAAATAAGGAGGACACAGAACTGCGTGGAGCAAGTCCAGAGGAGGGCCAAGAAGTTGACACGAGGACTGGAGCACCTCTCCTACAAAGACAGGCTGAGGAAGTTGGGGCTGTTCTGCCTGGAGAAGAGAAGGATGTTTGGAGACCTCATTTCAACCTTCCAGTGTCTGAAGGGAGGCCACAGGGAAGCCTGAGAGGGACTCTTCGTCAGGTACTGTAGTGATAGGACAAGGAGTATCGGGTTCAAATTGAAAGAAGAGAATTTTAGGTCAGAATTTTAGGAAGAAATTCTTTAATGTGAGGCTGGTAAGACACCGGAACATATTGCCCAGGGAAGTTGTGGATGCCCCAATCCTGGCAGTGTTCAAGACGAGGTTGGATAAGGCCTTGAGCAACCTGGTCTCATGGGAGGTTTCCCTGCACATGGCAATGAGGGTTGGGACTAGATGATCTTTAAGTTCCCTTCCAATCCTTAAGATTCTATAATTCTATATTGGGTCATTCACAGCAGCTATAAATTTAATCCGTAAGCATGAGAGCCTTATCACCGAGACCCGATGCTCTAGAAAATGAGTCTCCAAATATTGTAGCAGCTGTGGTGAGAAACTTTTATTTTTCAGGCACTGTGAATGGTACAATTAAACAATTAAGCTCCAAAGTACATCTGGGAACATGGACCAGAAGATGACAAGATCAGCAACCCTCAAGGCAGGACAGATTTGCAAGTTGTAGTTGTACGAGTTTGGTGGCTTGAGGATAGTGGTCCCCTGGTGAAATTCCCAGCAGGCAGCCTCAGATTCTACTCACTGGAATTAGCCATCTCTCCTGCCAATTCAGACACTTCGGTCAAAATGAGACCATTGGGCTCTGTTTCTGAAGAAGTATAATTAAAAATCCCTCCAGTTCTCAGTCTCAGACAACCCATTGACAGCCATATGATTCCTGCTACATCTAAAAAATACCGATGGCCCCACATCTTACCCTCTTTGCAGGAAAAATAAGGAAACATAGCCAACTTGTTTTTGTAAGGAGACCGCTAGCATCCATGTAGCACCTTGACTGAACAAACTGAGCCTCTCTTTTATTATTTCTTCTATTAATGGTGATTTAGCCACTGGAATTAATTCCTAAAAAAAGATCATTTTTTTTCTCTGTACTTTTTAATGATGTGTCTACAGCTGGGGTTACTAACCAGTTTATTATCTGCACCTGCCAGGTTAAGTAATAAAAGTCTTCGTGCTGGTACAGGGGACTACACTGGAGTTTACTCAGTTGTCTCACTGGAGAACATTACTGCTCTTCAGCTGATAGGGAGGCATGGGCAATTGCCTTCATACAGACCAGGTCCAGTACTTCGACACTGGTCACTGTTTTGCCCATCCCTGTGGAAGTGGCATCCCCATGTTGTCCCTGGTGGTCACAACATCGGGCAGGACAGCATTGACTCTAGTGCTATCCGTGCAACCAGACTGTGCTCAGCTCAGGTCACTACCTATCCATGGGAACAGAGCACAAGGCTTGCCACTGCAAGCAGCAAAATGGCTTAGGCTCAGCTTCTTCCCCCTACAGCAACATCCATTGGGCTTTCTGGAGTGCTCCCTACTGTTAGCCTAAGCAGGGGCTTCTAAAGGAATCTCTCTTGACCACACATGATTGATTGATGGAGCAGAAAGGGGCAAAGCTTCTGAGGCAACCATTCCCAAATCCCAGACTCACAGCGTCTTTGAGAGACTTTGTAGGGGCATAATAGATCTTGCTTCTTTCAGGAAATTATGCGCAGCTATGCCAAATATTTATAATACTGATGGGCCAGGACAGGAAATGAGTTTCAACACCAGACGTGTAATTGTTCAGGTTGTCTAATTGCTACCTTGCTCCCTGGCTCTGCTTTGCAACTTCTTTTAATTAATCCTCTTCATGAAAATGTCCAGGGGTATTATTCTAATGACAGTTCACACCATAGACAGCTCTCAGGAGAGCTGTATGGATTTAGGGAATTCTCCACTTGAGATAGGACCCCAGTAATAACAAAAACATTTTCACTATGAGGGTGATGAAGCACGGAAACATACTATCCACAAAGGCCTGAGAAATCTTCTGTGGCAACACTCACAGGCTTGGCTTCTGTACTGATCCAACTCTGAGCAGATGCCTGGGCTAGCTGATCTCTAGTAGTCCCTTCCAATGAATATTATTCCATGCTTCATCAGGCTTTCAACCTTTGAGTACTCCAGATGCTCTCAGTGCTACATTGTGGGATCTGAGATACACCTACTCGTGCTCATGAAACAGAAACCACTGCCTTGGTGAACGGTAGCACAGTGTTCGCCATCAGGAACTTGGAAATGGAAAACCCACCCTGTGTCAAGGCCCAGGGCTGCCAGAGTGGAGAGCAGACCTAAGGCCACTGTGCTGTAGGTGGATGTAACCCCAAGCAACAGGGATGTGATCCAGGTCTTGCCGTTTAGCCTCAAGGTTAGGGACCCTTCCCGACTCTGAGCAGTAAGGCTGGGCACACGTAGGCTGAAGGAAAAGATGTGCACCCAGTGTAACGTGAAAAACCTAGAAGTCAATTACAACTTCAAGGGGAAGCACTGCTGAGTTTGGTCTGCTGAATCCACGGCAGAGTCCAACAGGGCTACCATGCTAGTTATGTAAATGCTTTTGGGGGACATTTTAAGCTTTTTTAGTCTTCAACGCAGTCAGGACTGCATTTATAAATCTTATGGCATTCAATAATTATGTAAGACAAAATAGTCAAAAAATATCCTAGTTTGGGATATTTTGGGGTGACAGGTGAAGTTTGGGGTGACAGGTTCATTACAGTGAAAGGAGAGAAAAAGTTAATAGGAAGGTGTATGTTTTAAACTCAGACAAGATACCTTCTTTAGGAAAACCAAGTGACTGTGCCTATTCAGAAAATATCTAGAAGAATCGAGTTGTTCTTTATGAAACAAACTGTGGTTTCTTTTATGAACCTTAGAACTAACTACAGCCTTTGGGAAAGATATATGTCTCCTTTAAAACAGGATAATAAGGAAGTATTTACTTAGTCAAGGTAAAAGCCCACGGCACCAAGAGAGCCGTACTGCTTTCCCACCCTTCTCAAGCACTCATTTCAAAGAGGTGATACAAGGTTTAATAACATGACCTTTATTGATGACAGTGGAAAGCAGATGTTTATTTTTCATAAACAGGAAAGAAAATTTTACTTCCTATTATGTAATTACATAAAATCTGTTTAAATCACTAATATAAAAAAAAGTTAAAAAAAATGTTTGTGTACTTCATAATGTAGTACCATCAAGAAGTCCTAAGTAACTGTATTTTCTATAAGAAGGGAAAAATAAAACAAATTTGCATGGACAGAAGTCAACAGTATAAAAGAATTAAATGTATGTTATAAGGAATTTTGATTATTTGTAAGCTCAGTCCATGAGGATGGCTAAAGAAGTAGATCCTAGCAGGATCGAACCTTGCATATT